ACAACACACACAACACAAACACAACACACACAACACAAACACAACACAAACACAACACACACAAACACAACACACACAACACAAACACAACACACACAACACAAACACAACACACACAAACACAACACACACAAACACAACACACACACAACACACACAAACACAACACAAACACAACACACACAAACACAACACAACCACAACACACACAAACACAACACACACAACACACAAACACAACACACACAACACACACAAACACAACACACAAACACAACACACACACAAACACAACACACACAAACACAACACAAACAGAACACACACAACACAAACGCAACACACAAACATACACAACACAAACGCAACACACACAAACACAACACACAGACAACACAAACGCAACACACACAAACACAACACACAAACACAACACACACAACACACGCAACACAAACGCAACACACACAACACACACAACACACAAACACAACACACACAAACACAACACACAAACACAACACACAAACAACACACGCAACACAAACGCAACACACAAACGCAACACACACAAACACAACACACACAACACACACACAACACAAACACAACACACACACACAAACACAACACACAACACACACACAACACAAACGCAACACACACAAACACAACACACACAACACACAAACACAACACACAAACACAACACACACAACACAAACGCAACACACAAACACAACACAAACAGAACACACACAACACAAACGCAACACACAAACACACACAACACAAACGCAACACACACAAACACAACACACAGACAACACAAACGCAACACACACAAACACAACACACAGACAACACAAACGCAACACACACAAACACAAGACACAAACACAACACACAAACAACACACACAACACAAACGCAACACACAAACACAACACACACAACACACGCAACACAAACGCAACACACACAAACACAACACACAGACACAACACACAAACAACACACGCAACACAAACGCAACACACAAACGCAACACACACAACACACAAACGCAACACACACAAACGCAACACACAAACACAACACAAACACAACACACGCAACACACACAAACAACACGTACACAACAAACACAACACACGCAACACAAACGCAGAGAGAGTGTTGAGTGTGTTTCTTCATCTGATGCTGCCGTCCACGGGGACTGTTCGCTGTAATTCTTCACGTGAGCGATTCCCGGCTTTGAGACGGTCTCCAAGGGACGGAGCGAGCGAGCGAGTGTGTGCGTGTTTTTAAATCCGTCGGTATAAACAATGAAAACTCTCCGTGAGGATGTCGCTTTGTTAAGTGTTGGGCTAGCGTCGTTACGCTGTGTGTGTGTCCTAAACTAAACTGTATTTTAGCAGGTAAGGCCCACCGACCAATGTGGCTCTTTTTCAGAAGCGACCTGGCCACAAATGATAACTCAACGAAGTGGCTTATCACGTGGGCATTTATAGCAGCCAAATAATTTAAAGGCGCGTCCGTCTCTAAATGTGGAGGGAAAAAAACGGAGGACCCGGAGAAAAAATCCACACGACCACGGGGAGAGAGACCTCGCAAACTCCAAATATACAGCAGCAGGCGTCAGGGTCGAACTCACGACCTCCTGTGTACCAGGCGAGGTAGGTAACATCTCCTAGCCACCGTGGCTGCGTGTGTGTAGAGACGCCCGCCCGGCATGTGCACGCACGGTGACAACGTGAACTGAGCGCAATGTTTTCAATCGCAAACCGCCCTGAAAGTTGAACAGAACGAGTAAAATGTGTTTACACTTCCGTGTCGAGTCGCTTGAGTTCGTGAGCAGTGTCACATACATACATACGCCTGCTTCGTGGTTGGGGGAGGGGTGGTTGGGGGGGGTTGGGGGAGGGGTGGTTGGGGGGGTGGTTGGGGGAGGGGGTTGGGGGGGGTTGTTGGGGGGGGGATTGGGGGGGGTGGTTGGGGGGGGGTTGGGGTGTGGTTGGGGGGGTTGGGGGGTGACTCCACCACAGGCGGTGGTCACGGGTCAAACCAACGAGTCGTCGTCGTCCACAGGGTTGACGAGTTCGCCACCGACTTGTGCGAAGGCACCGGACTCGCCGTGCTGCTGGAGAGAGACTAGGCCACACACCGCTGGTGGCCTAGGCCCAACGGGTGATGAGCGCTAGCCAACGTGACTTCACGTGGCGCCCTTCACAATAACGGCGTCACGGAGTGCTTCGCTGGCAAACATGATCGTTACGTGATTAAAAATTGATGCGCGCGATCGTTAAAAATATACGAAGTTCAAAATATAGAACGGATTATGAAATACGTATTCGGCCAAATTGTTCAAACCACAATAAATTCCTCGTATCAGTCGGTGTCCATCGTGCACTCCACTTGAACACAACGTCGATCCAGCACCCTGCACCATGAACACCTCTTTCATTCAGAAACCGGACTGAGAATCCTGATCCTCCCACTATGAACCCCGAACCTGAATTGGCAACCCAAAAAACCCGGACCGTGAGACCTCAAACCCGTACTAGAAACCCACAATCCCACAGACATTTTGACTTTCACTTGTCGGGATGATGATGATGCTCGATCATGGCTGTATTTTCCACCGATCCGTTCTAGCCATTTGGCCGCTGCAAGCAGAGACAACGTTGGCTTTGCATCATCACACAGCGCACTCCGAACACTCACGCTGAGATCCACCCAGACGGCGCGTCAAATCAACCATGAACTGCACCACCACCTGTAACGCTGCCACCACCAAGTCCTCCATCACGATCCAAATCTCCACAGCAACCTGCACCAGTATCACCACGACCATCACCACCACATTAGCCATCGCCACCATCACTTCCAACCTCCTATTCACAGGGTTGGCTATGTATGGTGTGGAAGAAGGAGTCAAGATACATCATACGTACACTTCTATCACCACCATTACAATCACGTCCACTGCCATCATCATCACCTCCAACCACCATTGCCATCGCTTCCAATCGGCATCACATTCACTGTCACCTCTACCATCATCTTCGGCACGAACATCGATGACAACCACCATCACCATCATGTCCACTCATCATCATTCACCGACGTGTCTATGGGTACATCTTTGGGCTTCTGCATCCCTCTGTCCCTGTGTCTAACTGACATTTCTGTCTATCTCACCCTTTGTCTCACTCACTGGTCGTGTTTTTGTCTGTCTCAACCCATCGCTCTCTCTCATTGTCCCACTCTCGTCATCTCACTCCATCTCCAAACTCTCTCTCATTGTCCCACTCTCTCCATCTCACTCCATCTCCAGTCTCTCTCATTGTCCCACTCTCTCTGTCTCACTCCATCTCCAGTCTCTCTCATTGTCCCACTCTCTCTGTCTCACTCCATCTCCAGTCTCTCACTCATTGTCCCACTCTCTCCATCTCACTCCATCTCCAATCTCTCTCTCCCATTGTCCCACTCTCTCCATCTCACTCCATCTCCAGTCTCTCTCTCATTGTCCCACTCTCTCCATCTCACTCCATCTCCAATCTCTCTCTCCCATTGTCCCACTCTCTCCGTCTCACTCCATCTCCAATCTCTCTCTCATTGTCCCACTCTCTCCGTCTCACTCCATCTCCAGTCTCTCTCTCATTGTCCCACTCTCTCCATCTCACTCCATCTCAGTCTCCCTCTCTCTCATTGTCCCGCTCTCTCCATCTCACTCCATCTCCAATCTCTCTCTCATTGTCCCACTCTCTCCATCTCACTCCATCTCCAGTCTCTCTCTCATTGTCCCACTCTCTCTGTCTCACTCCATCTCCAGTCTCTCTCTCATTGTCCCACTCTCTCCATCTCACTCCATCTCCAGTCTCTCACTCCCATTGTCCCACTCTCTCCGTCTCACTCCATCTCCAGTCTCTCTCTCATTGTCCCACTCTCTCCATCTCACTCCATCTCCAATCTCTCTCTCCCATTGTCCCACTGTCTCCATCTCACTCCATCTCCAGTCTCTCTCATTGTCCCACTCTCTCCGTCTCACTCCATCTCCAGTCTCTCCCATTGTCCCACTCTCTCCATCTCACTCCATCTCCAGTCTCTCCCATTGTCCCACTCTCTCCATCTCACTCCATCTCCAGTCTCTCTCTCATTGTCCCACTCTCTCCATCTCACTCCATTTCAGTCTCCCTCTCTCTCATTGTCCCGCTCTCTCCATCTCACTCCATCTCCAATCTCTCTCTCATTGTCCCACTCTCTCCATCTCACTCCATCTCCAGTCTCTCTCTCTCATTGTCCCACTCTCTCTGTCTCACTCCATCTCCAGTCTCTCTCATTGTCCCACTCTCTCCATCTCACTCCATCTCCAGTCTCTCCCATTGTCCCACTCTCTCCATCTCACTCCATCTCCAGTCTCTCACTCCCATTGTCCCACTCTCTCCATCTCACTCCATCTCCAGTCTCTCACTCCCATTGTCCCACTCTCTCCATCTTACTCCATCTCCAGTCTCTCACTCCCATTGTCCCACTCTCTCCATCTCACTCCATCTCCAGTCTCTCTCTCATTGTCCCACTCTCTCCATCTCACTCCATCTCCAGTCTCCCTCTCTCTCATTGTCCCACTCTCTCAATCTCACTCCATCTCCAATCTCTCTCTCATTGTCCCACTCTCTCCATCTCACTCCATCTCCAGTCTCCCTCTCTCTCATTGTCTCGCTCTCTCCGTCTAACTCCATCTCCAATCTCTCTCCCATTGTCCCACTCTCTCCATCTCACTCCATCTCCAATCTCACTCCCATTGTCCCACTCTCTCCATCTCACTCCATCTCCAGTCTCTCTCTCTCTCATTGTCCCACTCTCTCCGTCTCACTCCATCTCCAGTCTCTCACTCCCATTGTCCCACTCTCTCCATCTCACTCCATCTCCAGTCTCTCACTCCCTTGTCATCTCACTCTGCCCTCTCCCCCCCCCCCCCCCGTCACGCCCCGCAGGCTGCTGCATCAGCTGCGTGCTCGCGTGCCTCTTCTGCGAGTTCCTCAGCATGTGCAACGCGCTGCTCAGCTGCGGCGAGTGCGAAGAGTGCTGCTGCTGCTGCTGCGCGCAGGCGTGCGGCGCGGACGCCTGCTGCGCCGGCGAGGACGGCCAAGCGTGCTGCTGCTGCGACTGCGAGCTGGCGGCCGCCTGCTGCGAGAACGACGAGTGCCTGGAGGTCTGCTGCGGGTTCTGCGCCGGCTGAGCCGCAGACCCCACCCGCCACGATGGAACGAACGGAACGCTAGCTCCGTCATGGCTCCATCGCTGCGACGCACCGTCATCGGTCCATCATCGCTGCATCATCACTGCAACCCTCTGTCATCGCTCCATCGCCGCTCCATCATTGCTGCACCGCACCATCTTCACTGCATCATCGCTCCATCGCTGGAGCGCCCACATGGGCACCCTTAAAATTCAGATCCAGTCGCAAAACGAAACAAACGAGTATGCCAGAGGAGATTTGTTGTCTTGCGTTGTGTCTCCCTTTAAAATCATCTCACGAAGAGCTGCTATCGGGGCTCGTGATCTCAACGACAGCTCTATTGGTGCAGTAGTGCCAATGAGCTCTATTGAAACCACGATCTCAATGAGAGCTCCATCAAGGCAGGATTCTCTATGTGCTGTATTGAGACAATCTCAATTTAGAGCTCTTGAAACCACAATCTCAACGAGGGCTCTATTGAGGCCACAGCCTCAATTTCTCTCCGATCCGTGGACAGTCCCAAAGGTTGCACTGCCCACTTTGTCGTCGTTGCGCTCGACAGCCCCGAAGTTTTCCTCCGCGGCCTTGGCCGCTGCTTCGGTCGCGAAACGTCGGACGCGACGACGAACGGCACGCGGCACGGCTCACGAACACGGCGGGAGAGCCGTGCCGGTGGCGTCGCCTCCACCGCCCGCTCGCCCTTCCTCGCACCAGACACTCGGGGACTGATGCGACGATGACTGGAAGAACCCCCGTGTCTGTCGAGGGCCCGTCCCTGGGACGTCGCTGCGCCTGTCCAGGTGTTTAACGTCGATGTTCTGCTTTCGTTTTTGACTCTGCTCGCTCGCTCGCTCGGGGGGCTGACTTGCCACGCGCGCTCGCAGTGCCGCTAGCGTGGACGCAGGCTTGGTAGACCGTGTAGAGATGGAGACTCTGTGAGGCGTCCGTCTGCAGGGTGACGAGGTCGTGCGTGCTCGAGGCAGTGCAGCAAGTAGGTCGCTTGCCCGACCTTCTGATCTCCGAGCCGCGTCCACGTGCGTGCATTGTGTTTCTTTGGCCATACTGAGAGCCCATTTAACGTTTTATAATTTTAAGGATTACATTTTAGTTTGTACTTTGCACTCGCGATTTCTACATTAAAAAGGCGTTTTTACATAGGAATGCCTTGCTGAGTCTTAAGACTCAATTTCAGGAGGGTCCTGCCCGGGGCATATTTATGGCCAATTCTGCAGGACTTCTCTCCCATGTATGGCTATGAGATGACCAGCAGGTGGTAGTAGAGCAAGTAGGCTGATTGTCATCCTGGACTGGTTCTGAGCAGTGCTGCTGAGACGAGGGTGTTCTCCAGGTACTGTTTATTCATGGTGACGTTGTTTGGGTTAGATCGCGTAAATGTAACTGCGTCGTACACCCAACGCCACCCGGCACGGCCTATCGGTAAGGTTTGTCACGTGAACAAAACGTGCCAATTGGTTACTACTTCAGCACCCCACACGGTTGTGCCTTAACAAACCCACAACATCTACAAACGAGTACGACGTTTCGCTGGCGATGGCCAGAGTTCATCGTGAATAATTGGCCACGAAAGCCGACGTGTTGAAAATGTTTCGGTTTAATTAAACACGTTGAGTTTTGATCCAAACAAGCAAGTCCTTGCGGGGCAGAGTCTCAGGACTATTTCTCAAGGCAGGCCACGCTTTGCCACGCCTGTCGGCTCTCCGTTTGGTTGGCCGTGTGGGAAGGAGCCAGCGCACCCGCGGCAAATCCTGAGTCTACACTGATAGGGTGACCTGCTTTCTGTACTGCCGCCTTACACGTTTGTTCCACCAAAGATGCTTCTTTTCAATAAATATATAAATGTGCGTATTTCTTTAGGACTCGTTCCAAATTATATTACAGCAGCAAGTTTAGAGGCTATATTAATAATTATTAGAGTTAGTGTTCCTGAATGGCAGTCGTCTGCACACGGAGATGTGTTTTTACATACATAAATATCTGTGCATACCTGTACTCACCGGTGACGCCTGCCATGCTGAGTTATTGGTGTTTTGGATCGGGTTTCGTCAGTAAAATGTGTGTCGTACACCCCTCCTCCTCCCAACACGGCCGATTCACAACACTGGACGACAATTTTGCAATTCTGGTAACTGCCTGATGATGGCGGCTGCAACTACCAGCGAAACGTCCGTACACAAATCGCTCAATGTGTGTGGCTCACGCTCCACCAACACATCACGTGACAACTTTACTAATTGGCTGCGTCCCGTGGAGGAGGGTGCACTCACTAAACACAAAACTGCTTTTTCACACCGTACATCACAGTTGGCGACATACGGTGGGAAAGAAGTTCAACATGCATACGTACGACAAAAAATGTATTACGAATCATTGTACTGGTGGAGGCAGCCAACGCGTTAATCCCACAATCCCACCCCTGGTTTGGTGTTTGCCTCTGCGGTCTCCTGAGTCCGCGTGGAAGCAGCAACCGGTGATGAAGGTGCTCACGCGCAGTGACACTCGATTACGCCGTTGAGATATTAATTTTGATCAAGGTTGCGGTAACCTCAAATGTAAATATATTAATGTCCGATAAATTACCCTTATCCTTATAAACCAAGAGATGCCTTTGAATGCTGGTGCCAAATAAATAAATAAGCATGGCTTTGTGTTGTAGGGGGTGGCAGCTTTCTGAAAATTAAGCAATAACAGTTGTGTTCCATTTAGAATATGAATCGGAAACATTCAACACTTGCAAAGACCTTGGAACAAAAGCTGACGATTGCACAGAGATGCGCGCTTGGGATATTACGCTGAGCGTGGATCACTGAACAAAGAGAAATCGGGAGACGCCACATTGACAATCAAACGGGGCTTGGGCAGGACGCATCGCTGGGTGGGATGACGGCCGGTGGGTGAGACTGGTGACGGAACGACAGCCAAAGGGGCGAGCGTGACCAAGGGGACGATCCGCTGCGGAGATCGGTTCACTTGGAGGATCCTTGTCCCCAGGGCCTTGTCTGGCGCGTTGTTGTTTGGCCCTGAGCAGGGCCGCTGGCGTGGCTCCGCTACCGTCTTCCACTCCACCACCGTCTTCCACTCCACTACCATCTTCCACTTCACTACCGTCTTCCACTCCGCTACCGTCTTCCACTTCACTACCATCTTCCACTCCGCTACCGTCTTCCACTCCACTACCATCTTCCACTCCACTACCATCTTCCACTCCACTACCATCTTCCACTTCACTACCGTCTTCCACTCCGCTACCGTCTTCCACTCCACTACCGTCTTCCACTCCCCTGCCGTCTTCCACTCCGCTACCGTCTTCCACTCCACTACCATCTTCCACTTCACTACCATCTTCCACTCCGCTACCGTCTTCCACTCCACTACCGTCTTCCACTCCACTACCATCTTCCACTTCACTACCATCTTCCACTCCGCTACCGTCTTCCACTCCACTACCATCTTCCACTCCACTACCGTCTTCCACTCCACTACCATCTTCCACTCCACTACCGTCTTCCACTCCGCTACCGTCTTCCACTCCACTACCGTCTTCCACTCCCCTGCTGTCTTCCACTCCGCTACCGTCTTCCACTCCACTACCATCTTCCACTCCACTACCATCTTCCACTCCGCTACCATCTTCCACTCCACTACCATCTTCCACTCCACTACCATCTTCCACTCTACCGTCTTGCACTCCGCTACCGTCTTCCACTCCACTACCGTCTTCCACTCCACTACCGTCTTCCACTCCACCACCGTCTTCCACTCCACTACCATCTTCCACTCCACTACCATCTTCCACTCCACTACCGTCTTCCACTCCACTACCATCTTCCACTCCACTACCATCTTCCACTCTACCGTCTTCCACTCCACTACCGTCTTGCACTCCGCTACCATCTTCCACTCCACTACCGTCTTCCACTCCACTACCGTCTTCCATTCCACTACCGTCTTCCACTCCACTACCGTCTTCCACTCCACCACCGTCTTCCACTCCACTACCGTCTTCCACTCTACCGTCTTCCACTCCACTACCGTCTTCCACTCCACTACCGTCTTCCACTCCACTACCGTCTTCCACTCCGCTACCGTCTTCCACTCCACTACCGTCTTCCACTCCACCACCGTCTTCCACTCCACTACCGTCTTCCACTCCACTACCGTCTTCCACTCCACTACCGTCTTCCACTCCACTACCGTCTTCCACTCCACTACCGTCTTCCACTCCACTACCGTCTTCCACTCCACTACCGTCTTCCACTCCACTACCGTCTTCCACTTCACTACCATCTTCCACTCCACTACCGTCTTCCACTCCGCTACCGTCTTCCACTCCACTGCCGTCTTCCACTCCACTACCGTCTTCCACTCCACTACCGTCTTCCACTCCACTACCGTCTTCCACTCCACTACCGTCTTCCACTCCACTACCGTCTTCCACTCCACTACCGTCTTCCACTCCACTACCGTCTTGCACTCCACCACCGTCTCACCACTACCGTCTTCCACTCCACTACCGTCTTCCACTCCACTACCGTCTTCCACTCCCCTGCCGTCTTCCACTCCACTACCATCTTCCACTCCACTACCGTCTTCCACTCCGCTACCGTCTTCCACTCCGCTACCGTCTTCCACTCCACCACCGTCTTCCACTCCACTACCGTCTTCCACTCCACTACCATCTTCCACTCCGCTACCGTCTTCCACTCCACCACCGTCTTCCACTCCACTACCGTCTTCCACTCCACTACCATCTTCCACTCCACTACCGTCTTCCACTCCGCTACCGTCTTCCACTCCGCTGTGGAGATGGAGCGATGAGATGAGTTTGTGCATAGGAGCGAGATGGATGGTGATGGTGTGGGGGGGCCTTCATCCAGCAGTGGATAGACAATGGGTGGTGGTGATAAATGATTCTTTAGGTCACAAATTAGCGTGCCAAGCCAAGGGATTCCTTTGAATTCTGCTGCCAAATAAAAATCATTGTCTCGTGTGGTGAAGACGGTGATAGTCGAACAGTTATCATTTCAAGAATAGTAATCGAATTGTTATACAATCTATTGCGTAATGAAGATAACGTTCGGAGTTTAACTTTTCACTTGTGATTTTTTTTATCTCTATGCAAATACAACTTTGAGTCTCGTTATTTTTTCGCTTTACCAACCTGTTCATTGTCATCACAGTATACGTTTATCACTACAGACTCTGTATATGGTATATACCAAAGTATATTTTCAAGGTTACATTGATGATGTACGAGTATTATCGTTAATGTACCAATGTTAACTGTTTCAAATTTGGACCATTTTGTAAGCTACATAACTGATCAATTAGCTACATTGCAATCGTGATGGATATTTGTGCAGCTTAAACGATTTGCGTTGTGTCATATGTGCGTTTGCTTATGCTTTTGATCTTTTATAATCTAAAGCTTCGCATTAATAACGGTGTTGTATGTTAACAGCCATATCGCTTTAAATGTGGATCAATTAAAGGCTGCAGTTAACACTACTGAGCGTACTGATGTAAAATATAGTTCAATAAATTTGAGGATGATGGCATTGCTGCGTGTGTGTGTGTAGAGGCTGATATCATAAATCGTTGGCTCCAACTGTGAGTTTGCCATTCCAGCCGGCACATTATAGGCGTAACAAAGGCACCGTGGGCTCCCTTGCCTGCTTGGAAGGACACCACGTTGCACTATTGTGCATGGTTTTTTTCGCAGCTCTGCTGTTATCAAGCTCTCTGATGTGTGTTTGGGATGTACACACGCTGAGCCATTGATGGACATCGCACGTTCGAGTGACAGTGGCCAGACTTTCCATGGCACAATCACTGTTGATGTCCTCCAAAATAAAAGCCACTATTTACCCTAGCAAAACTTTTGCTCCCGATGTTGATGTAGGGAAACGGTTATCGGTTTTACTTTCAGGCGGTTAAGGCGGGTAATTGAGTCGGCAGTAGGCGGAGTGGACGACGATGATGCCTCATCCGCGTTAGTGAATCGGGCACCGAGTTGGTACGGGTTCTGGGTGACCACGGTCGTACAACCGGTGATTTTAATATTAATTTGTTTTCATTTAAAGATATGGAGAGTGGGTTGAGACAAGTCCCGGACTTGGACTCACAAACCTTCTGGTTGTAAGTCGCACGTGTTGAGTTTACCCCAAGAGAGAGAGAGAGCGAAGACGCGTGTGTAAATAGTTTTCAGTTTGTAAATAGCACGGAAGAACTTTGTATTATGCAGAAACATAATCCGATCAGCGCCAGTCAACGACTGTGTAAAACACCTATTGTGATTTGTGCTTTGCCAAAACGGAGCCAATAACAAACAATAATCCCATCAATTAAAACGACGTGTACACGACGGGTTTCCGAACAGAGGGAAATATTTAATAACAAAAAGACAGCGTGCTGGAAATGGATTTTGCTAATAAACATTGCTCGGGAATTAACTTTGTGTTGGCAGATTAGCAATACAAACCATGCCAAGTGTGTGTGTGTTTAAAAGACTACACCCATGTTGTATTAGAGGGTGGATTAGCTTCACGTGTGATAATTACGCATTGTGGAGACCGATCTAATTTATTCATCTAATCGTCCTCGCGGTGCATCTGGTCAGAGAATTGAGTTCTCGTGAAATCTGGCAGCTCTCCATTTAATTATAGCACGAAAAAACAAGCGAGCATGCCAGTCTGTTAACGTAGCCTCAACATTGCGTTGGGCTGTTCAACGCCGGCGCGCGCTTTCGTACACCGGCGCGCTCTCTCGTACACCGGTGCCTTCACTGTCACGAAACTTCCGCAACTCCTCGGCGTCGTTTCGTCGTCACCGCAATGCTCGAGTGCGGCGTTCGTCACGTTCACCAACTCGAACGTGCCGGCCACACAGTGGGGCGTTAGAGATCGCACGCGCAGCGCTTCTGCGCATCCCACAACCGGCTTCCTCTATTCTTCTTGGAGGAGTGCTTTGCATGGCGAATTCCAAATGGCCGTTTCTTAGCAGCCATTAGTGCCTCGTGATTTGAGTTCATAGGACGCGCCAGCCAGACTTGATCAGCGCCCATTTGTTGCCACTTATAGCACTGGGCCTTTTTTAGTCGAGCAAACCCCGTCGAGGCATCCCTGATGCTTCGGGTGTTTGTGCCTGGTTGAGAGCGGCTGAGCGAATGATGTAAACGCTCTCGAAATGTGGACAACTTATATTTGAGTCAACAATCTTGATTTTTTTTAAAATACAATATTGAGGTTAAAACGTTAGATGTTGGGCTCTCCAAGATGTAGCTGTTGCGTTTGTACCTTTTGGTTTAGTTTCAGTTTTTTTTCAGTTTTATTTATTTGGTATAGCCATGTGAGCCATTCGGCTCTTGAATCGGGTGCAACCGCAACAAACAAAAAACAAAAACATGAACAAGAAAACATCTTAAAGTGACTATGCGCAAACAGAAAAATCCAGGAAAAAACAGCAAAATCTTCCAGAAAAAAGCACCGTACACCAATGCTGTGTGCAAAAATCACAGTGGGATGCAAGTCAAACAACAACAACCACAAGACAACTTAGATTAAAGCCATCAGTCTAACTCCGTACTACAACAAACAAACATGGCCAAACCAAGAAACGTTTTCGAAATCACCAAAATAAAACCATAAAAGCAATGTAACAGTGAGCATAGGAACTGTGACCGAAATTTCACAATAAACGACATAAACAACATGTACCACCAAACCCTGTAGCCATAGCTGGCTGCATGAGTCACTCCACAACAGCAGGAGCATCAGTTTACGAACCCCGACCTCCAAAAGTTTGTGCCTGGAGGGTTTTTTTATTATATCGAATTACATATGTGACTACAATTGAATGAAAATGGGAAAATTTGAATCAATTTTGGGCCCTTCAAATATTGGGGAAAATAATGTTAACAATTACATTTTCCACCCAGCCATAGCTGTGATTATCACTACAACTGTTGTGTCTCCACACACAACTGTGTTGTAGTCTATTGACCTTTCGGCTTTTGCATTACCACTATTTACCCAGGAGCATTCGTTTAAGTGAGCGAACTCTGCAACGGGTTTCACCTTCTGGGTCCCATCAGCAGAGTCAGTTGATTTAAACAAATGCTGCTGGGTCGCCGGATGTCGTGGACAAGAGCACTCCGTATAAACTGTGGGACCCCGTTCGAATGGGTAAAAACCCAAAACGAAAAGCAATGAGTTTGTGGAGGGGCTTGAAGAGTGCTGAATCAAAATATGACATCAGATTTTCAAGTCCAAAAACCCCACATTTCTGTATTCAGGACCCCAAAAATGTGGAGGCGAATGTGTCCTATGCTATTATATTAAAACGTAGGTATCTGTGGGTTTTAACCATGCTGAATAAATATGTAGCATCACATGTTTTGGGGTACCCTTTGGAAAAGTGTGGCACTAAAGCTGGTACGTAGAGCTGTAGGCCTTGTGGAGTGTCAAGTTCCCCAACAGGAAGGATACGTATATTTAAATACATATATACGATATATATTAATCTATATGGTCATTGAGCAATCCCAAATGTGTTGGTTTAAGAGACCATGATGAATTGGGAGAACTACCTACACTCTCCACCCGGCACAACTTGCGATGTTCTATCCACCCGATAGGCTGCTCGTTGTTGTAAGCATCACTCATCCTTATGTTTAACTCCCTTCTGTCCAGCCGAACAAGAGCTGCCAGGGCATGAAATATCTGGGTTGGCCTCCCTGCTGCACACTGAGATACCACCTTGAGGAGCGTTATCTACAGTCGTGTTTATGAGATGAGTAATTTGACTCAAATATTTAAGCAGTTTGAGGAAACACAGACCACTGGCCCATGTATTTTGGGAATGCATTTCATACAGATAAAGGCAGTTCGCCTTAGCAACCGGGGCAGTGATTGTAGGAAACAAGCCACGTGTTCCAAGGTGGTTACTTATGCCACCTTGTCAACTGTTGCTTAGGTCTTGTCATAAGAATCCAAGCTACGCAATGGTAAGAATAAAACAAACGCAAGCAGCTGCTCCCAGGCCTGGCAAGGAACGTTCCACCCATTACTCTTAGGATTGCCACCACTTCGATCGAGCACGGGAAGCATTCGTTGCGTCATTGTAAGCGTTGCGGAGCACGTAAGGATGCGTGTGCAGGCCCCGTTTGTCATTCCACTGCTGGATGAGGGCCCCTCCACAACCGAGTGGGCCCTGGGGATTATTTGGCCACGCTTCAATCGTGTGCGCATTGGTGAAGGCACGGGGCATCGATGCGTGATCGTAGAAGTACAATACAACAACCGACTTTAGGAGTCAACGGTGCCGTTCTATTGAGCGGCGTTCTTCATGGCAAGTCCCGCGAGCCCCTGGTGGCCCCTTGTGGCCTTTAGTGCGGCCCCCGACAATACACAAAGAGTGACAACACTCCCCATCAACATCACCGTGTTGCTGTCAACCCCACAATACACAAAGAGTGACAACACTCCCCATCAACATCATGCTGCTGTCAACCCCACAATACACAAAGAGTGACAACACTCCCCATCAACATCATCGTGTTTCTGTCAACCCCACAATACACAAAGAGTGACAACACTCCCCATCAACATCACCGTGTTGCTGTCAACCCCACAATACACAAAGAGTGACAACACTTCCCATCAACATCACCGTGTTGCTGTCAACCCCACAATACACAAAGAGTGACAACACTCCCCATCAACATCATCGTGTTGCTGTCAACCCCACAATACACAGAGTGACAACACTCCCCATCTTCATCGTGTTGCTGTCAACCCCACAATACACAGAGTGACAACACTCCCCATCAACATCATGCTGCTGTCAACCCCACAATACACAAAGAGCGACAACACTCCCCATCAACATCACCGTGTTGCTGTCAAACCCACAATACACAAAGAGTGACAACACTCCCCATCAACATCACCGTGTTGCTGTCAACCCCACAATACACAAAGAGCGACAACACTCCCCATCAACATCATTGTGTTGCTGTCAACCCCACAATACACAAAGAGTGACAACACTCCCCATCAACATCACCGTGTTGCTGTCAACCCCACAATACACAAAGAGTGACAACACTCCCCATCAACATCAC